AGGCCACACCAGGGAAGAAACACTCGCTCAAGCCCGAGTGTATCATCTTTTTTCCAATACAAGTAAACTTACTCTACGATAGGGAAGAGAGTTCGTCCCTCCCTTCTCGAATTTCCTCAAAACATCCCTTCGAAAATTGGGAAATGTCACAAAATGGATCTAGTGGCAGGTAAACTAGATGTTCTCCAAAAGTGAGTTGTATACCGTTCGACAGTATTTTTATGGGGAATTGAATGGTGCACATCTCAGTCTTCTATGTTCATCTGGAGAACCAAAAAAATCTGATCATATCGCAAGGGCATGACGAGGTGTGATGTTTGGGGTCACACTACGGAAGGAAGACTCACCTGCCACCAAGGTTTCTATGTAATTCCTACAGACAAGTGACCGTAGTCTACGACAGAGGAAATTCGTCGCTGCCTTCACAGCTTTCTACATAACATCTGCTCTAAACATGGAACATGTCGCGAAAAATGGGGCGAGGTGTGATGTTTGGGGCCACACTACGAGAATGAATGTCATATTCGTAATCAGGGCATCGAATTACCCCAATAGGCAAAGTTTCGACGAAAAATGAAACTTTGAGATTTTGGGGCAGTAATAGTGGAATAATGATGCCCAATCGGCAATAGGGGAAGTCTGAAAACGGTGAAAAACCAAAGTTTCAACTGGGAGGAGTAATGCATAACATTCGATAGCATTTTTCACGGGGAATCCAATGGGGCACATCTCAGGTCTGCGAGTTCATCTGGAAATGCAAAAAATCTGATCTTTCCACAAGGGCATGACGAGAGGCATTTTCACAGCCACAGCACGGCGGAAGCGCTCGTCTACAAGCAAGTATGTCATCTTATTTCTACACTCAAGTAAGCGTACTCTACAACAGTAAAGAGATTTCCCTCTACCTCCTCAGTTTTCGGAAAAACCTTCGCTCAAACATTGGAAAATTTCACCAAATAGGCTAGGGCATGACGAGGAGGCATGTTCATGGCCACAGCACGCAGGGAGCGGTCATCTGCAAGCTAGTGCGTGATCTTATTTCTACACACAAGTAAGCGTACTCTACAAATAAGAAGAAATTTCCCCGCTACCTCCTCAGATTTCGGAAAAACCTTCGCTCAAACATTGGAAAATTTCACCAGATAGGCTAACTGTCCAGCCGAGAATTGATCTATGATTTCCATTTGAACACGAGAGGAGGAGATGTTGAGCGCAGGGACTACGTGTTAAGTCATTTAACGCGCCGCTGTGGAATAGGGACCATGAAATCTGGAAAAAAGCAATCGATCCATTCACAATACAATGGACGATGTTGAATACGCGGCGCGTTCTGGGGCAACTGCTGAGACCCATCTCTCTGAAGAACGATCATGATGCATAAGCGGGATTATATGCGCACCACATTCAAACAGTTTTTTCTCGAGCCAAAGCTCGAGTGCATGGCGCAATCTGAAGTAAGGCTTTCAAAAGTTTAAAAGCACATTCTTATAGAACTCGACGAGCTGAGCTCAATGCTTTTTTCAGATTTCGAAAATCTTAAATTCTGAAGCGAGTTACAACGAAAAAACGAAAAAGAAACGCGAATTTGCGTTTTTCGCGTGTTTTTTTCGATTTTTTACGGCGAGTACCGTAGTTTTCCACATGGTTAGACTCGCCACAGAGAGACGAGTCCAATGGTGTAGAGCACCAATCATTTGACCCGCTTTCGAGGAGCACAATACCTGTGAGAGGTGGCAAATCGCTTTGCGAACCAACGCAAAATCCGTCGCTGTCAGGGGCGAGAAATCTTCAAAAGTTTAGTGCGGCTCACTAAAACTCTAAGCGACCATGGAGGCATGGAACGCTTAGTGGATACCAGGGCGTAAGGTATGCTTCCCCGAAGGGTTAGGGGACGAAAATCCCTTTAAATTTTGTCTCTCAACCAATTGATTGTCCTGATAAAGGGCCTACATTTAATATATGTGTGTAGCTTAAAGTAAACATGCATTGAAAATAAAGAAACAGTATCGTTCAAAACAAAAAAATTTAAAGGGACTTTCGTCCCCCAACCATTCGGGGAAGCATACCTTACGGCCCCAGGTAAGAATTCCTTCTGGATTTGATCACCTGATCGTGAGCGAGCTGAGTAGCACTAGTTGCCACCATACCATCACCTCCTTTTCTTCAATACAATTTTCTTTTTTTACATTTTATACACCTAGAACACTCACACCTCTTTGTCTTTTTTTGCGAGTTCTCTTATTCTTTAACAATAGCTTTTTTGCATTCTATAGTATGTACATTGCTCTTTGATCGTATTCTGATCGCATTCTTATCAGTCATATGACTTACTACGAATGCTCCGTGCTCTTCCCGTGCTTTACTAGGTGCTTTATTTCGCTTTACGTCGTGCAAACATTAACTGTTCGTAAATGTTCATCTGCAAGGTAGACGAACACACTTGCTAAATTAAGGTTGATGGCATATACTGTCTGATCCTTTGAAATTTGTTATTTTTCTCATTTGCAATTACTACAAATTTACTACAATTTATCATGTCATTTGATAGCCGTTAACATCCCTATTTAGTATGACATTCATTACAGAGTTCAATCATACTTTTACGTTTTTCTAATAGTTTATTGCCAACTATATAAATTATGCTCATTCAACGCTTTTTCCTCCCTTCCTTACTGAAGAGCACGGAGGGAGGGTATTTTTCCAGTTTGGCTTCCGTCTAAGGGCACGTGCGAAACGGAAGTCGAACTAATTCTTTGATTATTCCCCCTAAAAATTTCTATGTTTTTACTCAAACCTAATATTTTTATTTGCATGGTCCTCGAGGGTACACTTTCATGGCTCCATTGCTTCCTGAAATGTATACATGATAACTTTTGAACGGAGACTACGCTGCGCAAATGGCCTGTCTGTGAATTTACTTCATCTGGATGCCAACTCATAGACAACCCATTCTTCCACTGTGGACCCAATAAAGACCCAATGAAGAACACGTTCAAGCTGAATACTCGAACAAGTGCAAAGATACTGTGGAAATTCCAAAGTAGGAGGATCGACCTCGTTGGGCTGTCCTCGTAGAAGTGCGCCATTCACTCAGCTAGAACCGCGAGATTGGCAGAAGAGATATTTCAGAATGAGCACAGCATTGAATATTGAGAAGCATTTTTCGTGCAGTGAAAATGTAACCTTCTAACACTAAGAGTCGTATCCTGCATATTTCTGCAGTTAAGTGGCAAGTAGAAGCCTATTTCCTGCAGTAAAATGTCCAACACCTTCTAAATATGGTTAGCATGCAAAATAGCACACAACCGCGCCACACCCCACCCCCACCTGCACACGCTGCCTATGCTTTTCCGTGAAGGCATTGGCAAGGATGAGCTTCGATCATTCGGAGCAAGCAGGTTCAAGAACGACCAAGCTATCCTATCTTATATCCAGCTCGTCTGCCTAGAATAATTGACAAATTTATTATTAATATATTAATAAATCTATGTTATTACGATTAAAGGAAGTAGGTACGGAAAGGAATTTTCACATCTGCGGAGAACCTGCTCCCCACAGAGCAATTAGCAGGCCGCCAAGGAAGCGATGTGTGGCGCTTCCACTGCGAACAGTGCTGTGGTTGCTGAGCAGGACCATTGCGCCCTTCCGCCCCATGCGCCGCCCCGCCCACTGGTTTTGTTGATGATCTGGATGGACTGATTGCTGTTGGCTTTTCATTTTGGATGATCTTTTCCCATCTAGCGGCTGTATCTTCCATCTTGCCCATGTTATGCCTTATCAATCGAAACACTATGCTTGTTGGCATGATGGCAGCTATCGGGGTTAACACGTCCGAACAACCTCAGTCTTTACCGTCGCTCATCCATGATCGAAAATGAAAGGGCAATCAAAGGGGCACTATTTTGCTTATTTTTGACGGATTTCTTTGCTTTTTTCGCCACTGATGTACTATTGAGGACCCCCTCGTCCCCTCCAAACCACATTTAAACCTAGCGTAACCGCTGCCTTTAATTAATCTATTATAAATCAATACTGATAACAAATTGATATTAATATGTCAATAAATTTATGTGTCTCCGCTGACATATACAAGATACTCAGCAAGTAGGGTAGACCGCGGTGTACGGCAGATTCCGGATACAGTAACGGTCAAAAGTCTCACTCAAAAAAAGTTTTCCGCGCTTTTGATTGTTAACTGCTCTTTTTGACAGCAGTTTGCCATGTGAAACTGGGGCTGAAGTGAAGCTGGGCTTTGGTGGTGAATCGGTAGCACAACAGCTCGGAAAGCGAGAGGTGCTGGTTCGATTCTCGCCTGAACGAAGTTTTGCTCGCAACTCAGCTTTCTTGTGATTGATATTCGTGTTTTGTTTTTTTTTCTCACTTGATTAGTTTTCAAGTATTGTTGTTTTGGATCTTTCATTCGTTTTCAATCCTCAGGTTCCAAGGACTCAAGGGTGTGAAAGAGAAGCCCGCAATAAATTTCAATATTTTCAAAAGAAAAAAAACATACGCATCACAAACCGTTTTGGAATTTTTTGTAACCGCCAATACCACGTATATCGAGGCTTTCCAATCAACTTCACTAGAAGCCCACCTATGTGGCGTCGCACTAAAGTCGGTGACCGATACAGGCCTATCCTTTCTCGAAAAAAAAAGAGGGTCTGGGTTGTTCTTCCCTCTCTCTTTCCACGTATGTGACAAGAAGGTTCTCGTTCTTCAATCTCTATTTACAGTTCTTCCCAGAGTTAATTATGGGCTGCTAGTTTCTGTCCTTAAACCCAGAGTGCTTCCTGCGAACGGCTAAGTTAAAAGTGCCCCATAAAAAGCGGACTAAGTGAGTCTCGTCTAAGTTCAACTCTGTCAAACTCAGTTTTTCGCGCAAGTATCCTGTAGATGGAATAGGAGCTCGATTCATTTTTCAATTTCTTTTTTGGTTGATTCCAGTCTGGCAACGTTGGATCGCTTTGTGGTCAACAAAGCGCACGTCTGGAAAATCGCTAATGCTGGTCGCGTATCGCATAGAGAAGGAAAAGGTACTCTCTATTACCATAATCTTTCCTTATTTCATAANNNNCCANGNGAACTATTCTTCAAAAGTCCCCCCTATCGATTTCCTCTAGTCAGAAATAGGTATTTCCAGTGGCCGCTGAACCCGTAGAAGTAAAAATCGCGAGAGAATGGGGAAAAAAGAAGAGCGAAATTTTGAGGGAAAGCCATTCAGAGGACGGTCCAGGATGATTTACTTTCTTCACCGATAACCAAAAACGTCATGAATGTTTTCTTGAGACCGAGTAAAAGTTGGGATAAATACTGGTGGAGTGGTGGGTAGGGTCAACACGCCATTCGAACTGTTTCGAACGGAGCGGGTCGCTTGGTTCTGGGAGGGGAGAGGGGTCGCACTGCGCAGTTCTGCCGGCCCTTTTGGGGAAAACGGGTGGAGTTTTGGAATTTTAGGTAGGTTTTGGGCTGTGTCAACTGGTCTCAGAATCAAATACTATAGAAGAGGGAGAGGTCGCGGTGGGGGAAGGCTGGTTGTATTGGGGGGTCGCAACTGGACCCCCTCGAGAGGGTCGCAAAATCCCGAAAATGTTCGAACGTGACGGTTGACCTGTTGGTGGGCCATGACTGCATATTGTATTGTACGTGAACAGAATGTTCAAGCACATCCGTACCCATTTTTGCCACCTCCCTGTTCACGGCTGTGACAACCAAGGTATGGTATTCCTCTGACAAGTTGTCTTTTGGAAATAAATGAAAAATCAACCACATCCTAGAAGAATGAGAGGGATGGCGAAGATTGAGACACTATCCATTTCCTCGGAGCAAGCTTAGGATCAAGCCTAGGCCCTATCATAGGTTTGAGCATAAGCCCAAACCTGAGTATAAACCCAAGCTACCTTGGGCTTCAATGATCGCGCAACTCTGGTGACCTGACCCCGGAAGAACTGAACGTCTCCCATGGCGAACAACCAGCACCATTACGGATGAGTAATAATAGATAATTATTAATCTTCAACATATATTTGTACTAGTGTCCAGAAATTTATTGAGAAATATATCTTTCACTGCTCCAAATATTTAACGTTCATGTTAAATTTTTCAGAAAGTGTTCGACATAGGAACGGTGGCTATGGTTGAGCAGGTCGTGTGCTGGAGCTACAACAACTTTGTACAATACACCATCCATTTGGTGGGGGTGTCGAGAGCGAAAATCGAAAAATTCGCTATCCCGATCAGCACGGTTCAACAGCTATACGCCATCGAAGGTGAGAAACTTCCTCCAGATCTGGCAGGATGAAGGAGAACTGCTGGTCAAGATGTCCACCGCATTTCGAATGCGGCGTCGCAAGCGGCATTGCGCACGCGGCATTCACCGTTTGTTCGGTGCTTCTCCATCTCTGCGGGTTCGCTGCGCAATGGGCCGCTTTATCGGCACTCGTCTTCAAATGCACTGCGCATTCAACATGGCACAACTTAGTCCGTGGCAGTTACGCAACCACCAATTACGTCTCAGGCCGATGTCAGACTTTGCGAATGGCGCGATTCGCTAGCGTCTGCGGTCGCGCGTTCACGGCTAGTGAATCACTCAACTGGCTGGCACCGCAACGCGACCGCGCACGCTAGCAAATCGCGCTATTCGCAAAGTCTGACATCGGCCTGAGACGTAATTGGTGGTTGCGTAAC